ATCAGAAATAGAGATCTAGACCCAGGACTGGTACAAAAGCTAAGTACCAGTATTTTTTTTTTTCTTGTTACTTCTTGCAGTTTTTGTTCTTCTAACCTTTTCTTTCTTATAGATTTGTGAATCTTGAACATACGTTAGAAATGAAGACCTAGACCTGAGACTAGTACAAAAGCTAAGTACCAGTATTTTATTTTTTTTTCTTGTTACTTCTTGCAGTTTTTCGTTCTTCTAACTTTTTCTTTCTTGTAGGTTTGTAGATCTTGAACATGCATCAGAAATAGAGATCTAGACCCAGGACTGGTATAAAAGCTAAATACCAGTATTTTTTTTTTCTTGTTACTTTTTGCAGTTTTTTATTCTTCTAACCTTTTCTTTCTTGTAGGTTTGTGAATCTTGAACATACATCATAAGTGAATGGAGATCTAGATCTAGAACTAATACAAAAGCTAAGTACCAGTATTATAATTTTTTTTCTTGTTACTTCTTGCAGTTTTCGTTCTTCTAACCTTTTCTTTCTTGTAGGTTTGTAGATCTTAAAAATGCATCAGGAATAGAGATCCGGATCTGAAACTGGTACAAAAGCTAAGTACCAGTATTATGTTTTTTTTTTCTCTGTTACTTCTTACAGTTTCATTCTTTTAACCTTTTTCTTTTTTGTAGGTTTGTGGATCTTGAAAATACATTGTGAGTGAATAAAGATCTAGACCCAAGACTGGTACAAAAGCTAAGTACCAGTTTTATTTTTTTGTTAAGTTTTTTTCTTATTATTATTTCATTTTTCTAACATTTCTTTCTTGTAGGTTTGTGCTTATTAAAAATAGTGCCAGCGATACAAAAAGCTAGTGTTAAATAGAATTTTAGATATATAGATTTTACAAAAAGGGTCAATTGTAATTATTATATTGGTTATAAGAGACGTGAAATATAAAATATATATAAACATTTTTTAATAAAATAAAATCTTTAATAAAAAATGTTATTTTTAGTGTATATATAGTATTGGTATATATTGTATATTTTATATGTTTATATTATATCTGATAAATATCAATTTTAATCAGAATCGATAAAAATTGATAGTATATAAACCGGCTATATATCAATATATATCATCATCGATGAAAATCAGCAGGAGGATTATAATCGATATATATCTGTAGGGTTAGTAATTGATATATATCTATATATAGATTTTGCTGATGTTTATAAAATCTTATTCATCTGGTGAAGTTCTATTATATGATTGTTTGATAGATTTCATATTGCCAGTATCAATTTCATGCTGTATTTCCTGGTACTAACCCAATTGGTCAAGTCCTGTAGTGAATATGTTGCCAAATTTCTTCAAGATAAGTAGCACTTCTGTTTGTTGTTCTTCATTTAAGGCTTTCACTTTTACTAACTTGTTAACTATTTTAGCAGGGGTAAGTTTAGGATTTTGATTAATTTCAGGGGTGGAGATTTCTTCAATAGTGATTAAATATATAGCAGGGCTATACACATCTTCCCAGGGGTTAAGAAACAACTCCTCATCATCAGTTTGCATGCTATCCGTATAATAACTCTATACCCAACAACATAGTTTCATCTGGGGATTCAATGACCTGGAAGTTAGTAGAGACTATTATGCTTTTCATGACTAATTTGATGTTCTCTATTTTTTCTAAGGCCCTTTTTTGACTTCTGTTAGCAGTTACAATTATGGCTGTAGATAGTTCTTGAATAGTTAAATTCAACTTGTCTATTAATTTTTTAGACAGAATACTTACGGCAGCTCCAGAGTCTAAAACTGCTAATATTGGATTATTTTTAACTGGATGTAACATTTTGTGACCATAGTTTTAGAGCTCAAATTGGGGTTAGCCACATTTGTTTCTGCAACTAAGGTTATTTTTGGATGACACAATGCTTGGGTGAGATTTTTACACTGCTTTGGTATTTGTAACATTTGGATATAGGTGGTATTTGAACGTTGATTCAGTAAGTCTTCAGTGATATTATAGGGTGGCACCAGATCAACTATAGAGAGTCCTTGGGTATGTCTTGGTCTTTTAGCAATTTCTGGTTGAGGTTGGGTTGAGGTTTGGGTTTGTTCTCAGATAATTTCGTCCATAGGGATAGGTTGGGTTGGTGCTAGTTCCTGATTTTGCTCTGAAGCTACACTTTTTCTTAACCTTTCTTCCTAATTAGGATTGGTCTCTGTGTCTGGTCTTTTCTGTCTCTTTATTGCATAGAGTTGATGATCAGATTGGAAGGCAGCTTTTACCTCTTTTTCAGGTTCCTGGGTAAAAATATCACACAGATTGACATTCAGGTGGGCCATATCTTTATTTTCGGTCACAGAGGTCCTTCCAGAGTTTTGATGTGTTTAGAGAGTCAATTTTAAGCAATATGGCCTCTTTCACCATAATTGTAGCATAAAATACTACTATTGTTGGTTTGTTGAGATTGGCAAGGCCTATTTTGGTTATTCTGGGGCCAGACAGGATGGCTTTTGATTCTAGCAGCCAGGGTGGTAGTTAATTGCTCACAATTTGTTGCCATTTGCTGCATTTGTTGGGTTAGATCATCCATTAGCTTATTGGTAGCCTCATT